CAATTAGACAATGACTAGAACTTGATCAGTGTGGAGTTTCTTAGAATCAGCTCTACTGTCCATTTTCTAGAAAGGCAAATGTGTTTGTCTGGTCTCACATAGGAGATCTGAGAGGGACTGAAAATTATGAAAGATAATGCTGGGCTTCCTGCAATGAATGCAGGGTTCATTTCACCAGAAATATGAGTATACATGACTCTGATTCAATAGGTGAGGGTTTTACTGAAAGAGAGATATCCTGTGTTGAGGTTTCTACCTTCAGGCTATGTGTTTCTGTGAGGTATAAAATGACTGAATGAAAGGATTCTATTTCCTGTGACCAGAAAAGTGCCCCCACATTTAGACACTGCACATAGATGCTTTTTCTCAGAGTTTTACTTTGGGACTCACACCTCTTCAGGTCTGCCTTTGGAGGCTAAGATATCATCTCTGTAAACAGCAGAGTTCTTTGAACGAGTGAGTGCACTAGTACCTTCCGTGCCATCTGGCTCTGCCTGCTCCTCTCGTTGTTTCTGCTTGAACTTCAAGTTCCCATAGTGCATGACAGCCCCCGTCAGCTTGTAAATGGCGGTCTTCTCATCAGCAGTGAAGCCCAGGATATCAATGGCACTCTGCAACAGAAACAGTAAAGTAAAAACATTGCCTAGTAACCTTAAGAACACTCATAAAAACTTTTCCCTTTATAATACTTACATCTGTAGCCATCAGCTCCTCCTGGTCATCAATGCTGGGAACAGTGACCTCACCTTGACTCACAAAGTGGTAGTCATATGGGTTGGTGGTAATGAGGAGCATGTCTGAAAGCCGGAACAGGTAGGAAAGAGGCTTAGTTTTGTCAGCTAGGTAGGAGAGTGAGCTGTTGCTCAGCTCTCTTCCTCCAAAAAGAGTTAGGGATCCTTCCTACCAATTAGCTCTGGCTTCTTGTTGGACATGATCTGATAAAATATGTGGTAGCTTCTTTCTGCCTTGAGCTGGAAAGTGACTCTGGACTTCTCCAGCAGATCTGGCAAGGAAGAGAGAAGGAGTTAGGCACAAGACAGTGCACAGAACAGGAAGACGGAAAGGAACGTGCTGAGTCAAGGACGGTCTCTTACATGTTTCAATGTCAGCAGAAGCCAGTTTCCCTGTGGCCCCAAAGTGGATTCTGATGAATTTGCCCTGTTCAGGGAAGAAAGAAGCATTTCAGCCTAGCTGCATTCCTTTGCCGTCTCCTTCGGTGAGACTAGCACGAGGCCCATCATTACGCTTGTAAAGAGAGGGAGAGATTTTGTCCAAAGCAACGACTTACAAAGCGTGAGGAGTTGTCATTCCTCACAGTCTTGGCATTTCCAAAGGCCTCCAGCAGGGGGTTGGCACTGATGATTTGGTCCTCAAGGGTGCCCTACGACACGATAAGTATTGTTAAGTTACAGTGTTTAATCCATGTGGCAATTGCAGGCCAAGGGTTCAGTCTCTCTCTTCTGCCTCACCTGCATTTTGCCTGACTGCTCCTCCTTCTTCTTCTCCCCACTAGCTGCAATTGTTGCAAAGTACTGGATGACACGCTTTGTGTTCACAGTCTTCCCGGCACCAGATTCTCCGCTGTGAAGCCAAAGAGAGAAGCAGAGAGAAGCAGTATGGTCAGGCAGCAGGTTCAGTGGCACAGAGCAACCCATCAGGAACCCAATCAGGGAATGTACGTACGTGATCAGGATTGACTGATTCTCACGATCTGTGAAAGAAACAGAAACAAAGAGGGGTATGAACACCTTATATAAAAACATTAGTTGAAGCTTGTAGAACCGCACAAGGCAGCCTATTCATTTTAAAAGCCCTTGGGTATTTCCCCTAGTCTCTTTAGAATCCTTTGCCCTACTATTTCTCAGCAGTAATAAATGGCATTCTATATCTATTCATATTGACATGTATGTCATGCGTAGTATGTTATCTTCTTTTCTAGGATATTCTCCTCATGTCAGGGCTGCTTATTTGTCTCTGTAGAAAGGAATCCAAACTAAAGAGTATTTTAGCAAAATCACAGAATCACAGAAGTGGTTTAGGTTGGAAGAGACCTTTGGAGATCATCTGGTCCAACCCTCCTGCTCAAGCAGGGTCTTCTAGAGCACATTGCACAGGATCACATCCAGGCAGGTTTTGAATATCTCCAGGGAAGGAGACTCCACTACCTCTCTGGGCAACCTGTTCCAGTGCTCAGGCAACCTCCCAGGAAAGAAGTTTGTCCTCAGGTTCAGATGGAACTTCCTGTGGTTCAGTTTGTGCCCGTTGCCTCTTGTCCTATCGCTGGGCACCACTGAGAAAAAAGTCTGACTCCATCCACTTGACATCCTCCCTTCAAATACGTATATACATTGGTCAGATGCCCCCTCAGGCTTCTCTTCTCCAGGCTCAGCAGGCCCAGCTCTCGCAGCCTTTCTTCAGAGGAGAGATGCTCCAGTCCCCTCATCATCTTTGTAGCCCTCCGCTGGACTCTCTCCAGTAGCTCCATGTCTCCCTTGCATTGTGGGGAGCCCAGAACTGGACGCAGGACTCCAGATATGGGCTCACCGGGGCTGAGGAGAGGAGGAGGATTATCTCCCTCGACCTGCTGGCAATGCTTTCCTAATGCAGCCCAGGATACCATTGGCCTTTCTGGCCACAAGGGCCCATTGCTGGCTCATGCTAAACTTGTTGTCCCCCAGCACTCCCAGGTCCTTCTCTGCAGAGCTGCTTTGAGGTTATTCCTCCCCAGGTGCAGGACCCCCTGCACTTGCCTTTGTTGAACTTCAGGAGGGTCCTCTCTGCCCAGCTCTCCAGCCCGTCCGGGTCCCTCTGAATGGCAGCACAGTCTTCTGGTGTGTTAGCCTCTCCCCCCAGTTTAGTATCATCAGCAAACTTGCTGAGGGTGCACTCTCTCCCTTCCTCCAGGTCACTGAGGAATACATTGAACAAGACTGGAGCCAGGACTGACCCCTGGGGGACACCACTAGCCACAGGCCTCCAACTTGACTCT